ATGGGAATGGACGTGGGAGGGATACAAAGATGGGCAGCATATACCACTTTTGCCTCCTCATACCTCTGATGAGAGATCTGCAGTGACTATTCCATATTGCGTTAAACCTGGTATTTACGGAATTCCACTTCAACCTCACCTAATTCAGCCTTTTCCTTTCCTTTCCTTTCCTGTTCCATAGAGAACTGGCATCCCACTCTGCATGTCTGTTTTATGTATTACATATGTTACATACATTTTAAAATCTTAGTCATTGATTTATGTTACTCAGAAATCCAAGTCCCAAGGGACTTTTGTGTTTCCGGGATGATTGTCCTCCCAGGCTTCTCCTGGGTGGTCTGGCAGCCTATGAGGCGGCCCTGACAGCCTGACCAGAACTGAGTTGACAACGGACCTGCTCATTGCTGAGGGCAATGACATACTAAGACAGCTCTGGGACCACGGTGAGAGCCCAGGCTCTGAATCTAGAGAAACTGGATTTAAACTCCAGCTTTGCCAGTTTCTGGTGAGACAAGTTACTTCTGCCTTCTGAGTCTGTCTTTTCTCATTTGCAAACAGAGGATGATTCTACTAACACTTTACTGTGGCCAGGATTAAGTGAGATAATGAATGGAAAGAGATGGGCGTCGCTATCACGGATACTCAGCCGGGGAAGGGACTGTGTTTTACTCACCTGTAAATCCCTGTACCTAGCACAGTGCCTGGAACATAGCAGGCATCTGGTCATTGTTTCCTGGACTGAACTGACGGGGAGGCCCTCTGACTATTTGGGAGCTGGCGATGTTAGCTGATTCTGAGGTAGCAAATGCTCTTTCTCCCCATCTTTGCCAGGCTTCCTCTACCTACCACTGAAGGTTTCTGACGGTGACCGTGCATCAGTAATTCACTCAAGCCCATTCCCCCAGCGCTGTCTTTATACAAGGCTCTGTGATGCCTCTTACTTGAAATAAACCGTAGAGAATCTATGAGCACATTCTGTTTTCCATACCTGGGTTTATACTGCCCTCTGCTGCATACTTATGGGACAAGCACATTAAATGAGGGCTTCTGCTGGGTGACCTTTCCTTGACATTGGGGAAAAGAGGCTCCACCATATAGACCTTCTGCTGTGCTCTTGCGAGAAGTAGTGTTTAAGACGCCCTCCCCACCCAGTTTAGTTTGCAGCTCTTGAGGGTTACCTAACTCAGAGACTTTTTACCAAGGTCTCTTGACCCCTTGGCCATTAAATAATACCATTCTAGGCTCAAGTTTCTTTCTCCAGCAGGCACTTTTTGTCCTGCCAAGACTCAAGAGGAATGGGGTAGAGTGTATTGAGTTTATCTTTCTCCCTCCACAGTCTGGTTTTCTCTAATTTCTGGGCTCTTAATTCTTATGGCTGCCCCAGCTGCTCTCAAGGGTCTGGGGTCATGGGAGCCAGGGGAGAACCAGAATCGACCATCCCTATCCAGTGCCCAGTCCCTGCTTCCACCTCCACCTCGCTGTCACTCGTTCCTTCCCAGAGCCAAGCTCCCAGGTACTGAAAGTAAAGTGGGGTCCTTCAGGGAGAAGGGGCACAGGGGAAGAGCGGGGGTTAAAGCTCAGCCCACCCTCCTCTGACCTCACCATGAAACCTGCTAGAAGCATTTGTCTTTCATGATTAAGTCAAATAACACAAATTTGCTGATATGCAACTCTGTTTCACCCGCAAAACCAGAAATTTTATGTAGTTCAGAGAAATACTTCACATGTAAACCCTGTGCGTGTTTGTGGTGGCCTGGAGCCCCAGGTTTCCTGAGCTCATTCAGACCCAGGAAAGCCAGGCTTGTGGAAGAACAGGATCCCGAGCAGTAGAGCTGGAAGGAGGGCCCTAAAGCGGGAGAAATGGTTGAATTGACCTTAAGGACCTGGGACCAACGCCCCTTCCCACATCAGGCCTCCATGCTCCTGTGCAGGGTCTACAGTAACCTCCAGGTGGGGCTTGGTTTGGGGTGCTCAGCCAGGGGCCAGCAAGGGAACACTGGGGAAGGCCTCCTTCTTGCCCAACTGTGCTCACCCTCCTGGCTATATGGTCAGGATTTTCTGGGACCTTCAGAAACCCCAGCCTTCTGGGCACACCCAGCATCCTCCCCTTGCCTGTGCTGCCAAACTCTGGTTGTGGGGCTGCTGGGCACAGGAAACTTCAGGTGCCAATCCTGGAAATGCACTGGCTGTGTGATGGGGCCAAGCTGATTAGAGGCAGCTCTGAAGCCCTGAGAATCCCTTAGCTGGCTTCAGTGCCCCACCAAAACTTGGGGACAGCTGCCAGGGCAGGCCTGGTGCAGCAGGCATTTAAAACTTGCCCAAGGAGTGGGGGCAACATGGTGTGGGAGGTTTTAAGCTGCAGAGTAAGGGAAGGCTTATGAGTCATAGTTCACAGGACTCACCAAAGATGAGAAAGTTTCCCTTCTGTGATTCACTCGCCTGCCTTGCAATCACCTGACCAACAGATAGGTCTTGATCTCTTGGAACCTGGTCATTCAGGTTAGAAACCTGGTTCTCTTTCCTTCTAGGCAGATGCGAGCAAGCGAGGGAGGGGCTCAGCTCAGACCATTGTAATCATCCACCCATTCACCCACCCACTCACTCATTTATTCATTCATAAACAAATGGTTATTGAACATCTATATGTGTCAGGCACTGTGCTAGTTACTCGGCATATAGCAGTGAACAAAACAGACAAAAATCTCTGCCTTCCTTGTGAGGCAGCATCTTGAGTCAAGCCATTAATAACTAATGTTATTAATAACTAATGTAATAACTAATGTTCCCCAGCTAACGTTTCTGTTACAGAACTGTTACCTCTCCTACCATGGGATAAAGAGATAATATGTTTTTTAAACTTCGGTACGGGGAAAAGCTCAGGAAATGCATCCATTCCTCTGTATCCCTAGGGGATTGGTTCTAAGACTCCCCTCACATACCAAAATCTTGAGCATATCAAGGATGCTCAAGTCCTTTTTACAAAATGGCATAGTATTTGCATATAACCTATGTATATCTGCCTGTACAGTACTTCAAATTATCCCTAGATTATTTATAATACTTACAACAATGTAAATGCTAGGCAAATTGTTGCTAAGCTTTGTTGTTTTTATTTGTATTATTTTTTAAATTTTTTAAAAATTTATTTTTATTATTTTTTTTTATGATTCTGTTCCAGTGCATGTAATATTTTAAATTTCTGTATATTTTTTGAATATTTCAATCTGTAGTTGGTCATATCTGTGGCTCCAGAACCCTCATATATAGAGGGCCTACTTTTTTTGTTTGTTTGTTCAAGATGGAGTCTGGCTCTCTTGCCCGGGATGAAGTACAGTAGTGTGATCTCGGCTCACTGCAACATCTGCCTACTGGGTTCAAGAGATTCTCCTTCAGCCTCCCAAGTAGCTGGGATTACAGATGCCCACCATTATGCCTGGCTTTTTTTTTTTTTTTTTTTTTTTTTGTATTTTTAGTAGAGACAGATTTCAACATGATGGCCAGGCTGGTCTTGAACTCCTGACCTCAAGTGATCCACCCACCTTGGCCTCCCAAAGTGCTGGGATTATGGGATTATAGGTGTGAGCCACAGTGCCTAGCCATCAACTGTAATCTTAAATTTTAAAAACCCAATACAAAATTATATACATATATAAAATAATTTGAATTATATTAACCTATTTGTTTACAGAAAAAGAACAGAGAGGAAGCAGACCCTAAATATCAGCAGGGGTGTAAATCACTAGGGTTATATGATGTACATGTGAACAGAAAAAGGACAAGGAGGAAATAACCCCTAAATATCAGTAGGGGAGATTGTATTTTGTAGGACTGCCACAAGCTGCCCTGTCCCCTGAGCTTTTCATACAGTATGACCTTGATGGAGAGGTGTGGTCATAATTCCTTCTCCGTGCACTTGTGGCTACAGAGGCAGTACAACTTCTTCCTGGTCCTCCTGGGATGCTCATATTGGAAACTCAGACACTGCTGTGAGAAAGCACATGGAAACGCCACACGTGGGTGAACCGGCACTACCCCTGCTGACCTCCCCTGACAAGCATCAGTCACCAGGCACGTGAGTGAGAGAGCTCCTCTGTGACCTCTGACTGTGGCCATGTGAAAGACCCCAAGCATGAGCAGTCAAGCTTAGCCTAGTCAACCACCAGAATCGGAAAATAAAAATGGATGTTGTTGTTTAAAGCAACAGAATATGGGGGTGATTTGTTACACAGCAATAGCTAACCAGAAAAATATATTTAACCTCTATATTGTGGGATCATGGATATTGACAATATTTTTCCACATTTTCCAATATTTCTACAATGACTATTTATTTCTCTTATAATCAGCAACAAAAAAAGGGAAAACTTGGTCTAAATGCAAACTTAAGGACTTAAACTAGACTTGAAGAGAAGCTTTCTATGCAAGATTTATTAGATACTGGAAAGGATGAGGAAGATAAATTTAAGTCAATATGATGGAAAGAGTGGTGGATTTGGAATGAGGAAACTTGGAAAGGACTCTGTTTTCTGGGTGACCTTGAGCAAGCCTTTGCTAAAATTTGGTTTTCTATTTTGAAAAATGCAGCTGGCTGCTTAAGGAAGATAACATCCACCAGGGCGCCTGGCCCAGAAAAGGCTCTCTGTAAGTGGTAGGTGGATCCTGTCTAATCAATGCCAATTATAACCAGGCATCTGCAAGCTTTGTGGAGGGCGCATCTTTCACTGCCACCAGAGCCTACGGTTCTAATAACGAAAATTGCCTGGAAAAGAACCACAACTCTTGAAAAAAAAAAAAAAAAAAAAAATCCAAAACCACAAAGTGGCTTTTGCAGCGATCCTTGGGGGTGACTGCTGGAGCCTCTGGCTCCGCACCTCTCGGGAGCCTCCATCCCATAACGATGGCCACAGTGCCCGGGTGGGCGGGCCGGCAGCCGGGCCAGGCGGGACGCTGCGCACCGCGTGGCTGGGGCCGGTGTCCCGGCAACCCCGGAACGCGCCTCCGCGGAAGGAGCAGGCGGCCGCGGCGTCCCTCTTGCCCTGGGCTCTCGGTTCCTCGGCCTCGGCGTGCGTTCGGCAGCTCGCCTGCCAGTTGGTGCGTTGGTCCCAAGCTGCGGAGGCCTCTGAGCACAGACCCGAGCCTCCCCGGGGGGCGGGGGTGGGAAGACCCCGAGATGGAAAAGAAGGAGCACCTGGAGCTGGCGGTGGGGGTGCAGCTCCTCCCCCTCTGGCTGGGGGAGGACTTGCTGGAGCTCAGAGGGCTTCGAAACCAAGCAACGCCTGGGTGGAGGGAGGGAGGCTCCGGTTTAGAGGCCATTCCTCCCTCCTGACTTTCGGTGGCTTGTGGAATTTGTTTTCACAGACACCTTTCTTACAAGAGTCTTTTCTTTGTCTCTGGGTTCCTTCTAAAATTTAAAACCAACACGTGCACAGATGAGACCACCTATGCTCACTGGAAACGGTCCACGGGGCTGCCGTCTCCCCTCCATCTCCAGCGTGACCTGTGCCAGAGAGCCGGAGAAGGTTCCAGAGAAAAGGGACTCTGGCATGACCAAGGCGGAGAGGACCTACAGTTGAGTGCTAAGAAACCCAGAGCACTGGGTGTGGAGTTGGTGTTCACATGCAAATATACTGCACCCGGGTCGGGGGTCGGGGTGGGGCACCATTTGAAGTTTAGAAGGAGGCTAGTTTGGGGGCGTGTAAAAAGAGCTGCTTGATTAGTAGCTTATGTCTGTACTAACCCAAGATTTGGTTAGGCAGAGAGCACCGCCAAAGCGGACATTCTCATAAGTTACCTCGGGGGATCTCACAGCAGTGGAGAAGTATATTACCTATGAGTAAAAACGGAGCCAGAGATTTGACCTGCCCAGTGCCTGGGTTAGTAAATTGTGAGCCTGGATTTGACGTGAGTCTGCCATACTGCCGAGCCTTTCATCTTTCTTTTGCTCGTATATTAGTAGGTTTGTGTCAGTGTTTATTGGATGGGACCGTTCAGGCGGGAATTATGAACACTCTAAAAATTAAATAATGGCTGGTAGCTCCATAATTGGGCGAGGAGGGTACTTGGAGGCACCTTGGTTTGCCTTTAGAGAACAGTGTCATGTCGCCGAACAGCCACAGTCTCCCAGAAAAGCTCAGAGTGCGTCTGCGCTCAAGTTCTCATTTACCTGCTATGGGTGAGTGGTCTGCGTGCTGCAAAAAGGGGCTGTGAAATGTCCAGACTTTGCTGAATCAAATCTTAGCTTTCTCCCTGGTCTTCTGTATTCTGGGTCTATGATCGCCTCATTCTCCTTCACAGTGGGGAGAAAGGAGGGAGAAAGGAGGGAGGTACTACTCGTTCCACCCAGCTATTGATATATGCTGGAACCATAGAGAAGGAGGAGCTGGAGGAGTTAGAACTATTAATTGTACAAGTGGGTCTGGAACAGCAAGGAAAAAAGGATTCTGGGATTCTAACTTAAGCTCCAGCCGTTTCCAGTTAGGTTTGGCGTAAAGGAGGAAGCTGCTGTTTTAGGGATGTCCTAGGGATCCATGTTTTTTAGTTAGGGGTACAAGAAGGGTACCAGATCCCAGACCACATTAATGAAAGACCCATGGTGTCCTTTTCTACTGTGTAGGTGAGTCCATTCAGGAGAATACATCTGAGTTTAGAATACATTTGGAGTCTATGGATTTCAGGAAGGAAGGGGCTCCACAAACCAGTTGAAGATACCTGTGTGGGTGTGGGTGTGTGTGCACACATTTTTCCACCAGAGAACCAATTGCTTTCATTACTGCTCATGGGGGAGGGGATATAATCCAGAAACGGGTTAAAAATCACTGTCCTTGATCCTTAGGCCCCTTGTTAGGCAGATAAGCAGGGGTGGGAAATAGTGTTTGGTTAAATGAGTATCCACATTAAACAAACATGGCTTGATGTATTATTTTTCTCCCTACCAGACAGAGCTATTGTGAAAATCAGCTGAGATGACAAGCATATGAAAGTGCTTTGGTTATGTAAGGTGTTATTCCTGCCTAAAAAAAAAAGGGAAATAATTATCCTGAATTCCACAGATGGCACTAAAGAAACAAGACTTTCTTCCAAATTCTCCTTTTTCCCTTGAATTCCTTTCTGGTCACCAGAACCTTCGCTTGGCCTTTAATTACATAGTTTCTTCTTATTTCATAGTGTTTTAGAAACTTGTTAGAATTTCCTAGCTTCTGGCTTGCTTGACGTTTATTGCATTTGAATAATAATTTTCAAGATAAATGGCGATCCTTTCAAGCAGGGTGTGTTTCCTTAGCGTGTTTGTTTCTCCCCACAGCCTTATGAGCCAGATGGGAGAGAGGGTAGCCATTGGGAGCTGGATGCGGAGAGGTAATTGACTTGCTCAGAGTAACCGGATGGTACTCTACACTGTGGGAGCATCAGTATTTAAACATTTAAATTTTGCCCCAACACAAACAAGCAAAAAACTTCGGAAAGGGCCCTCTCTGATACCATCGATAGAGCCAACCAATTCTTGCTTGGGGGAACTCTCAAGTCCTAGAGTGGCAATATACAATTAAAATGTTTACATGCTATGAAAGGCAGCCACTGTGAAAACCTACAGGCCAAAATTGTCATAAGTAGATGTTACCATAAATACTTCAGAGCTCACATCTTTGGCCTTGATTTCATTTATTCTCCACATATGTGAATCCATTCTATATTTCTATATGTACATTTCATGCCTTTTTCATAGATACATTGCCAGAAGTAGAACTATTGAGTCAAATGATATGCACTTCTCATAGGCTTCAGAAGTAACATATGGCCAAATTGCTCTTCAGGAAGATGGGGACATTCCCACCAGCAATGATAGGAATGCTATTACTCCAAGCTATGGCAACCCTGAGTGTTTGCAAACTGTTAGCAAATAATGGTATCTTATTTTAAATTCAATTCTTCAGTTATTAGGATGGGGCCAGGTGCAGTGGCTGTCACCTGTAATCCCAGCATTTTGTGGGAGGCTGAGGCAGGTAGATTACTTGAGCTCAGGAGTTTGAGATGAGCTTGGGCAACATGGTAAGACCTCATCTCTACAAAAAATACAAAAAAAAAAAAAAAATAGCTGGGCATGGTGATGTATGCCATGGTCCCAGCTACTCAGGAGGCTGGAGTGGGAGCATCACTTGAGTCCTAGGGGCAGAGGTTGCAGTGAACTGAGATCATGCCACTACACTCCAGCCTGGGTGACAGAGCAAGACCCTGTCTCAAACAAACAAACAAACAAACAAAAAAACCCAAAAAATAACCACCCACTGCTCCAAACCCAATTATGATTGATGAACTTTTCCCCCAAATATATATTTGCTATTTGTATGTGTTATTTTATTTCATCTTATTTCGAGATGGGGTCTCACTCTGTCGCCCAGGCTGGAGTACAGTGGTACAATCAGGGCTCACTGCAGCCTTGACCTCCCCAGTCAAACAACCCTCATCTCAGCCTCCGAAGTAGCTGGGACCACAGGTATGCAACACCACGCCCAGCTAACTTTTCAGTTTTTTTCTAGAGACCAGGTTGGTCTTGAACTCCTAGCCTCGAGCAGTCTACCTGTCTCGGCCTCCCAAAGTGCTGGGATTACAGAGATAAGCCACTGTGTCCAGCCTGTTTTAAAAATAAGTTACCTGATCATGTCTTTTGCCCTTCTTTTTTCTTTTTGGATATTTATTTTCATCTTATAAATGTATAGAAGCTCATACTTTGTCATGGCTACTATTTTTTCTTTCTATCATGTATGTTACAGATTTCCCCCCAGTTTATAGTTTGCTATGAAAGTTTTAAGTGTATATTTAAAGAGGCATATTCAAATCTATGCCTCTTTTCCTTTATTTTGCCTGTATTTGGTTTCTTTTTTTTCTTTTTTCTTTTTCTTTTTTTTTTATTTTTAGAAAGAAAAAAAGAATAATAAGAAAAAGAATAAAGAAGAGGAAGAAAGAGAAAGAGGAAGAGGGAGAGAGAATGGGGGTATTGCTTTGTTGCCCGGGCTAGAATGCAGTCTAAATATGGGTATGCCTATAATTGTCCTTAATAATGGAGACATGAAAGAAAATGAGGGAAGAGAATAACAAACAAGGAGCCAACCAACATTTCGTTTAAACTTCTAAGTTGATATGATGTGGTACTGATAAGAGTGTATATTTTGTGTAAAGTGGAGAGTTCTATAAATGTTCATTACGTTTACTTGTTCCAGATCTGAGTTCAAGTCCTGGATATCGTTGTTAATTTTCTGTCGCATTGATCTGTCTAATATTAACATTGAAGTCTCCCACTATTATTATGTGGGAGTCTAAGTCTCTTTATAAGTCTTGTATGTCTGGGTATTCCTGTATTGGGTGCGCATATATTTAGGATCTTTAACTCTTCTTGTTGTTGCATTGCTTCTTTTATCATTATATAGTGTCCTTCTTTGCCTCTTTTGATCTTTGTTGCTTTAAAGACTATTTTATCAGAGGCAAAAATTGTAACTTCCGCTTTTTATTAATTATTTTTGCTCTCTGGTTGGTTGGTAAATCTTTCTCCATCCCTTGTTTTGAGTCTTTGTGAATCCTTGAATGTGAGATGGGTCTGGATGCAGCATACTGATGGGTTTTAGTTTTTTGTCCAAATTGCCTGTCTGTCTTTGAATTGGGGAATTTAGTCAATTTAAATTTAGAATTAATAATGATATATGTGAGTTTAATACTGCCATTTAATATTAGCTGGCTATTTTGCCCATTAGTTGATGTAAATTCTTCATTATATTGATGTTCTTTACTTTTTGGTATTTTTTAGAAAGGCTGATACTGTTTGTTCCTTTCTATGTGTAGTGGTTCTTTCAGAAGCTCTTGTAAAGCAGGCCTGGTGGTGATGAATTCTCTGAGTGCTTGCTTGTTCACAAAAAAACTTTATTTTTCCTTCACTTATGAAGCTTAGCTTGGCTGGATGTGAAATTCTTGGTTGAAAGTTCTTTTCTTTAAGGATGTTGAATATTGGTCCCCACTCTCCTCTGGCTTGTAGGGTTTCTGCTGAGAGATCTGCTGTAAGTCTGATAGGCTTCCCTTTGTGGGTAACCTGACCTTTCTCTCTGGCTGCCCTAAGTATTTTCTCCTTCATTTCAACCCTGGTGAATCTGACGATTATGTGCCTTGGAGTTGCTCTTCTTGAGGGATATCTTTGTGGTGTTCTCTGTATTACCTGGAGTTGAATATTATCCTGCCTTACTAATTTGGGAAAATTTTCCTGAATAATATCCTGAAGCGTATTTTCCAGCTTGGATTCATTCTCTTCGTCACATTCAGGTACACTTATCAAACGTAGATTTGGTCTTTTCACATAGTCCCATATTTCTTGGAGATTTTGCTCGCTCCTTTTTATCCTTTTTTCTCTAATCTTATCTTTTAGTTTTATTTCATTGAGTTGGTCTTCGACCTCTGATATCCTTTCTTCTGCTTGATGAATTCGGCTGTTAAAACTTGTGCATACTTCACGTAGTTCTCCGTATTGTGTTTTTCAGCTCCATCAATTCACTTATTTTCCTCTCTAAATTTTGTATTCTTGTTGACATTTC